GTATCTAGACACCAGGCATCTAGGCATTGAATTTCATCTGTAAAAGGTCCTATAAATTTCAAGTACTGGTATCAGAAATTAAGAATTCTTGCATACACACACATTGTTTTCCTTTTTGGGACTTCATTATCTGGGTGCTTCAGATTTGAGTGTAAGACTTCTCAAGAAGTAAACCATAACTGTGGGATAAACAATTATAAAATGTCTTCAAGGCACTGCAATTGAGGGAAGACAAATATAACTCAGCATGCATTTGTGGTACATGAATATAGAAGTCACTTTGAATTCATATTCTAAAACCCAGTTGTGTTAACAGGTAATCTAAACTTTGTTTAACAAACAGTGATGTTTGTGTTTAAAAATAGTCTCATAATACTCAATGAAATCAGCCAGTCGTTATGTTTGAGTTCCTATGTATATGTGCAAGGAAGATAGGCATTGGGGTGGAGGAATCTGTCAGGGAGCAAAAAAATATCTTTAAGGCATAGTATCCACCTAGGTGCACATGAATTGTAAACACAACGAAATATTAAGTAGCTATACAAGATGACATTAAAAGATGTCACAAGTGTGTATTATGGACACGAAATGATATATAGATTATTAAGTATGGAATGTCTGATTTCCTTATGTACTAAGTTTGACAGTTGATATCTCTGACATTTCACTTTGACACATCTTTTTTTTGTGTGTGTGAAGGTACATCCTTATTATTTCAAATGAACGTTTGGCTTGTGATTATCTTTCAAATTTTTTTTAAGAGGAATTTTTGTGAAACCATGGATAAGTCAAAAATTCATGTTATTTTTGAATATGACTTCTGTCATGGAACCAATGCAGCTTGAAATATCAATGAAGTGTTTGGGCAGGTGTGGCTAATGAATACACAGTGCATCCATGGTTTGAACAGTTCCATTCTGGTGATTTTAATCTTGAAAATGAGCCCTGTGGGTGACCTGAGACCAAGGTGGATAATGATGAGCTAAAAGCTATAATGGAAGTGAATCCATCCCAACTTACGCATGAATTAGCAGCAAGATTTGCCATTACTATTCCAACAATATTGGACCATTTGAAACAAATAGGCAAGGCAAAGCAGCTGGATAGATGGGTACTGCATGAGTTAAATGAGCATCAGAAGAGAAATCGTTTTGAAGCTTGCCTTTCTTTGCCATCACGACATAAAGGTGAACCATTTCTATGTTTTTTTACATGTGACAAAACGGATTCTTTTTTGACAATTGCAAGCGTTCACCACAATGGTTGGATAAAGATGAATTGCCGAAACACAGTCCAAAACTGAATATTCATCAGAAAAGCTAATGGTGTCTGTTTGGTGGTCCAGTGCTAGTATTATCCACTGCAGCTTCATGAAACCTGGTCAATCAATTACATGTCTGCTGCAACCAGTTGGATGACATGATGAGGATGCTTGCAATTAAGCAGCTGAGATTGGTCAATAGAGACAGGCCAATCCTCTTGCAAGACCACATGTTTGAGCAGCACAGAGAATGCTGCTCAAACTACAGACGGTGGACTTGGGAACTCTCTGTCATCCACCATATTCACCAGACCTTGGACCAACTGACTACCATTTTTTCCAGGCTCTAGACCACTTCTTACAAGAAAAAATACTTAATTCTGAACAAGCTGTGGAAAGTGCCTTTTGCAATTTCATTGCCATTCGCTCTCCAGGCTTCGTAGCTGCTGGCATAAGCAAGCTACCATTAAGATAGCAAAACTGTGTTGATAGTTTAGGTACACACTTTGATTAATTGTACTACTTCTTATTTGAGATATAATAAACTACACTTTTGATTTGAAATTGGACGTTTTGTATTTAATGACCTAAATACTAGAGAAAGAAGGTGGTTCCCTGGAATTAGCAGAAACTTTAGCTTACCTTTTTCTTACCTCTAGCTATTTAAGGGTTACAAATTAATGTGTTGTAGTGTCATTCATTCAACATATTTATTCAAGAGATATTCTGACCTATTATGTATTAGGCATTATAATACTATAGATCCCATAAAGATAGCAGTGAACTAAACAGACAAATTATGTGCTCTTAAAGAAGCTTACATTTGAGTGGCAAGTAGAGAGAGGACAGACAATGAAAAAACAAACAAATAAATATATAGTGCTAAGTACTGCCAAGAAATATAAAGTAGAATAAGTATTTAGAGAGTAATGGAGGCAGGGTAATGCTATTTTATATGGGAAGGTTAGAAGGGATTCTTTATTAAGGTGACATTAATGAAAATAAATGAGGGAAGTGATGATTGGCATGTGAATATTTGAGAGGAGAACCTTACAAGCAATCAGAATAGCATATGCAAAGGCCCTGAGATAGGAACATACTTGATTTGTTTGAGCACCAACAAGGAGACCAGTGTGGTGTAACTTAGTTAAGTGCTGGATTGGTGAGAGGGGAGGAAGGAGTAATAGAGGTAGCAAGAGGCCATATCATGTAGGACCTGGAAGAACATGGGGAGGTGAGGTAAAAACACCACAAGTTTT